CTACTAAACCCTGAGAAGTTTTACTGGCACTCTGCCTTTGGCACTCTGCCTTTCAAAAAATTGATCACAACCTGACGTAATTGCTATAATACTCGATTCGGCCTCCCAAGTTGCAGAGGAGGACACTCGGGTGCCGACCTCGGACCCAGCCAGCACGTTAGCCCATGTCACACCGGGCCCTCCCCTCCGAACCGCCCGAGCGATGCTCACGCAGAGACTAAGGAGCTCCCAGCCGGCACGTTAGCCCATGTGTCCGACTGTCATACAGAGAGCACAGAGCTCTCCGTTGGCCTCAAGAGCTCGAAAAACTCGATGCAGCGGCCCCCCAGCACCCGGCCAGCGGTGCTGCAGCACACAACTCGAACTGAATCTCGAAAGAAGCGTTCGGCGGAAGTGCACCGTGGGTAAGGGCAGGAGACTTGTAAGCTGCCCTGCACTACGTTCTTCCCTCAGAGCCCTGTGCGAGACACAGCGAGTCCTGGGTAGCGGCCACACTCCACATGCCGGCAAGCGAATCGACAAGGATTTTCTGATCAACAGCAAGCGCAGCAAACCACTAAACCCTACTAAACCCTTAGAAGTTTTACCTGGCACTCTGCCTTTCACGAACGTGCTCTGACAGTCATGCGGCCCGGAGACTTAGGCCACCCCCATTCGGCCGAGATATGGGGTCACCCCGCTCTTCCATGGGGATATCAGGCGAAGGCTCTCAACGACCACTAGCAGCTGCAAGCATTTGCCCGCGCTATGCTTATGTCGCCCTCTGCTCGCAAAGAAGCAGGACGTCGTGGTCGTCGTGGTGCCATCCCAGAGTTCGCAGCGGATACTTCTGCCCCCGACATTACCTTCTGCTGGACTTGGCCAACAGCTTGGCGCAAGAGCCGAACGTCGGGTCGGCCATGGCAAGCGCGGTAGTCGAATTTAGTTCGACTGTGGCGCGGGTACGTGGCATCAAATGAATGTGTGACAAAGAATTCACTAATCTTAAACAACTGGTTAACAAAACAACATTCTACTCCATATCAAATCACCAAGGAACCATGCAGGTCGCTGCTTTCGTCCTGGTTCTTGAGAATGAGGGCTTGTCGCAAAGAGGTCCCACTTTTTGCAGCGCCCTCTAGCAACTTCCAGATGCTTTTGATGTCCACAGTCTTTTTCAATGGAACACGCTTGCCCAGAAGTGCCCTGCGAGACGTCACAGGCACACCAGCATCATGTACACTCAAGTAGTGCCCAATGACATACACCTGGATGCCGGCTGACAATGTCTCGGACAGACACTCATGTATGTGCATGAAGGCATTCACGACTGTCTTGGCAAATCCATGAGCCTGCCCCGACGGTTGAAGCGCTCTGTGTTTTTTTGCCATGGTTGCAAAGGCGATGATGTCGTATATGCTAGTTTCAACCTCCTCCCAATCTCGTGGCACTCTGCCTTCAGATTCATCTCGGAGAGATGAAGACAGCGTCCTTGCATTGAACATAGATTCCCAAAGCTGACGCAAAGATCGGGACGTGTTGCCTGCCAGCGACTTCATCATCCAAGCGGCACAGCCTGACACCAACCCAGCTGATTGAAGAAACCATGACACTCTGCCTTCATCCAACTGCATGACCAGAGGCTCATCACTGATAGTTTCACACACACGTACCATAGCATCATTCAGTTTTCTCTTGTACCATTCCCTCTGGGCGTCTGTCCTTGTGTCGAAGGATGCTTGCAACATGAATCGGGCCAAGGCTGTGGAAGATGCCACATCCTCCTGTACAGCATCAGGGTTTGGCACTCTGCCTTTTTGACTTTGCACATGTGACCCCCAGTTCGCAGCCCAGGGGGTCTTCCTGAGAAGATCACTGAAGAAGTTGTACCATTTGTGGTACTGTCGACGTTCTGAGCCGTTCCTGTTGCTCTCATCGAAAAACAAGTCCATACGCCACCACAGTTCGCCCTGTGAGAGCCAAGCTGCTCTCGCTGGCAGTTTTGCATCATTTTCCAAGTTAAGCAATTGCCCATCACGGAGCAATAGCATGACCCACAGTTTCAGAAGCATCACCGAAATCCTCCAAAGCAACACTGTACTTAAATCTTACTAAATACTGACACACACCTGCACTTGTGTAACAAGCCCCAGTTCACAACACATTGAATTCTTAAGAAATCAACGCAAAGACTCACGATGACATGTCAGCAGCCACATCATGTCACTCGAACTTGAGACAGGAAACTATCGCAGATGGCACTGAACTGACAACCACATGGAATGATTAACACAGGCCACCGATGCCTGCAACTGGAGGTCGAGCCACCAGCCAGGTCATTGCCACCTGCACGACAGCAGCATACGAACTGAGACAATACCGACAAACACATCTGATCACGGAGTGACTGAAGCTCTCTACATTTTCATTGCACAGCTGCACCAGCTCGGATCACTCAGATCCTTCCACGAGGCGGCGAGGATTTTCCTCGGCACCTCGTGGAGGGAACGGACGGGGTCCAGGGCTCAACCCAGTCCCAACATTGGAAAGCAGAATACCACCAAGACAGAATGTCGAAAGATGAAGCAAGCTCATTTAACTCTAGAGAATTATGGCACTCTGCCTTATTGGCACTCTGCCTTCAGCTACAATTCATGTTGGGACATCCCTCATCATATGAAAGGCCACAGCCTTGCCGAACTCCGGGGTGTACTCCTCTGACACCTGAAGATCTTCAGGACGACCGGTGAACTTCTCACCATCTCGATCAACTCAACCAGCACTTCCTCTGACATGGGAAGGATAGCTGCGCCGCATACCATTGATGTGCTGACAGTTGCTCCACAGTTGAAGCGGTTTCAGGATGGGCTGGCCGAAGGCACCACCATAGGTTTTGACCTTCATAGCCTGGATCATTCCCATGACACGATCGACGAGTGGAATGTCGAACAGCATGCTGGAGCAAGGCTGCTCGATCACAAACCGGTTGTCATTCAACGCCGCGAGCAAAGTCAACAGCAGCGTCACATACATGAAACGATTGCCTTCTTGGCATGCCAGCGATCGCTCAGGTTCTCCCATCCAGTCATTGGCAATGGACCTTCCAGTACTGTATTTACAGAGCTGGACGAAGGAAGAGCATGGAGTTCCAAACCACACCAGGCCGTGTTTGTGTGTTTGACACACAGCATTGACAGCCAGGCGAAGTCCTCTCACAGAAAGAATATCATGATCTGTGCCGTACCTGATGTCCAAGGCTAGCCCCTTCCAGCCAGCACGGAGCATCTCCCGACTGAGGTTGCCCTGCCCTGCAAAGATCTCCAGGAAGTGGAACCTGGCACTCTGCCTTATGTTCCGCTTCCAATGACAAAAGTTGATGAGGAATCTCATCTGTTTCTTCCATGGCCACGAAGTCATGATGGGAAAAGTTTCTGATAACATTTATTGCCAGATTGATATCATCCAGGAAAACCCACTGGCTTCAAGAATCACATCATAGTTGCAC